GGAACTTTTCTCCAGCCACTTCCCACTCATGCTGGCTGGGTGCGCGGTGTCTGCCGTGAGCAGCTGAGGTGGAAAGCGCGTGGCCGGGTCCTGCCACGGTTTGGATGACTGCCCGCCGTGGGCAATGCCTGTGCAGACCCTGGTTGGCAGCAGCAGTGGGCTGCCGGTGGGCTGCGCGGACGATGCCCTCAGTGGAGCCTGGACCAGCTCGGTCCATCACTGTAAAGGTCTCCGGGCTCAGGGTGCAGCACGCGGGTGATGTTAACGGTGAGGTGAGCAACGTGGCCAGAAGAGCTGCCTCAGCCCCATGCCCTCAGCTCAGCGCTTCTGCGATTCCCCCTTTCTGAGGACCTGGGCACATCCGAGCCCAGCCTTGCTTTTACCCCTTGAAGATTGGAGGGGGGGGGCAGGTTTTGCTGCTTTCAGCACAGACCTCAGCTGCACTGCGCTCGGATGTGCCCAGTGACGCTTTAGGACGAGTTACTGGAGCTGCAGGTGGCAGGAACGCTGGCAGGCATCTCCTTGGGGCACGTTAGGGCGTTGTGCGTACAACACCCACCATCGCCCTCGCCTGAGCGGTTGTCGAGGGGTTTCCATCGAGATTCTGCACAACCCGCGGACGCAGGGACGAGTGAGCTGGTGCCCGGCGGCGTGCCCCCGTTACCTGTCTCCTCGCTCCTTGGTGGGATCCAGACTCTGAAATTCTTCCTCAGGCTTCCTCGTGCTGCACGTGGACGAAGACCACTGTCAGCAAGTGGACCTGGACCAGCTCATTTCGGGTGAGTAGGTGCTGCCGCCCGCGGCTTTCGCTGCTGGGGACTGGGGGGGGGGTTTGCCTCTGCCCGCCGGAGCTCAGCCCTGGGACGCTGCTGTGCCCGAGGCTCCTGCCCGGCTCTTGGAGCCGGCAGCTTTGGGGGGCTTTAGGACATCACAGAGGGACGAGTCTGCAATGGGATCCCGCTCCCTCCTGGATGCGCCGGATGCATCCCTGGGCGAGCTGGGGGACGCGGGGAATGTCCCCGACCTCCTGGACAGCCCACAAAGCCAGAGCTGTGGCCAGGATGAGCCCGGCACCTGCGGGCAACAGATGCGGAGGGGTCCTGGGCTGGAAAGCCAAGGTGCTGCGGGGGGCCGAGCCGTCGGCGCGGGGATGCCGAGACGGCACCTGGTTTGCGCCCCGCGAGGGGCCGAGGTTGCAGCCACGCGACCCCCCAAAACCCCCCAGGGCTGCAGGGCGAGCTCCGGTCTTTGGCCAGCAGCTCCAGTCCCGGGCGTCTGTCGGGGGGCTCAGGGGGCATTTGCAGTGGCTTAGCGTAAGCAGGAGGGGACTCGCAGGGTTTGTTTGTAACGTGTTAACCGTTAAAAGGCAGAGTTAAGGCTCGTTATGAAGGGCTAATAAAAAGTCGACTTGAAGCTGGTGGCATTTTGGAGCAGAGTTAAGTAATTTTCCTGGATTTCAGGGATTTTTTCCCTGTCACTAGTGACCTCATAGTATATAGTAATGCATGGAAACTTTTGGATTGTTCCAAGGGAGCTTAAAAAACACTAAAAAAGGAAAAACTATCTTTCCGTTGGCTCCCTGAGCCCTTCCAGAAGAAAGAGGCCTGTCTGTTTGAAACAAGTGAAAGATAATCTGCCTGCGTGTGAGTAATCGCTGGAGCGAGCAGGCCTGGATTGGGTTGCGCGAGCTTCCCGTGTTGAGTGGCTCGGCCGTGCGGGGGTCCGGGGGGGGCTTCGGCGTTACGCCCCCGCGGCCGGGTCCGGCGAGGCACGAGGACGCGGCGAGCGGGCACATAAATCAGGGGAGCCCGGCTCGCTGCGGGAGCAGAAGTTGGGGGGGACACACATGGGAGGGAGGCGAGGGCTCTCCTGCGCCGGGTAAACAAGCTACTGGAAAAATATTATTATACTTTTACTGCTAGGAAAAACTACCTGGGTTGTTTTCTTACTACCGGGAGCCGTTCCAGGCATTAGGAAATCGTGCTGATAGGGGAGGCTTGGCCCGGCGAGCGTCTGCACAGCCCCGCGGGCCCCCGGGGGCTCAGCTCCCGGCTCCGTTCCCCTCCCCGGCCCCGGACCCCCGTGCTGGGGGCCCTTCTCCTCCCCAGGTCGGTGCAGGAGCAGCCCCACCGGCTTGAGCCCCGCGCCCCAAAGCCCCCTCCCCGGTCCCCCATCGCCCCGGGACCCCGGGACCGGGCAGAGCCAGCAGCCTCCGCAGCACCGTCCCGCTGCCGTGGCGGGGGTCCCCTGGGCTCTGCAGAGCTGGGGGGCTCCTGGGGGGGGCTGAAGAGGACTTAGGGTGCTTGTTCCCCCCCTGGGGCATGTGAGGGGGCTGGCGGGGGGGCCCAGCATCCCTGGGACTGGAGTTTCTCCTTCCTTGTGCGATGGAGCAAAGCCAGGATGCGGCTGGGGGGGGTGGGGGGGTGGGGGGGGGCCGTGGTCCCGTAGCCCCCCCGACACGTCTGTGCTCTGCTCCTTCCAGCTCTGAACCTGCTCCTGAAGGACCCCGTCCCTGCCGTCCGCGTGAAGGTGGCAGAGACCCTGGGCCGCCTCGTCAGGATCCTGTGAGCCCCCCGGGGGCCCCCCCAGCTCCGCCGCAGCAATAGTCGGGTCGGCTCCTCGCCGCGAGCCCCACGGCTTTGGGGTCCCTGCGGGCACTGCCACGTCTTCCTGCATCCCGGGGTCCGGCTTGCCTGCCTTCGCGGCAGCCCCCGTCGTCTTCCTCCGCTCTCGCCAGCCTGCGGGAGCCCACCCGAACCCCCCCTCCCAATGCCAGGACTGGCTTGGCCCGGCTGTGGCACCGTGGTGGCCGGAGGACACGGTGGGCATGTGGCCCCTCTCCGCAGGCTGCTGGACGGGGGTCCTGGTTGACTTGTGGGATGAGGGTCCTGGGCAGGGATGTGGCAGCATGGGGAGGGAAGGGGCTGCAGCTGCCCCACAGCCGTGGGCCGGCAGCATCCCCGGGCTCAGCCAGGAGCAGGACGGAGCCTGAGCCCCCCCCTCACCCCGGCTGCCTCCAGCCCCTCGTCCCACCCTGCTGCTCTCCGGTACTGAGGACAGGGGCCCTATTCGATGAATGTGACCGTCCTCTTGACACACATGTACATAAACGTATTTTTAAATAAAGCTCTTTGCTCCTCAAGCGTTGTGATGGGGGGAAGGGGATGGGTTTCCCCCCCCAACCCCACAGCTGTGTGAGCCGGGTCGTGGCAGGGGCTTTGGGGAGCCCGTGGGGAGGGAGCGGCACGGAGGAAACCGCTGGCTGTGCAGGGATCCCCTTCGGAGGAAGATGCTCGGTCTCTTCCCCCTGCCTTTGCCAAAGGGGAGGCACAGCACTGGCCCTGGCTCGAGTCATGGGGTCCCCTCGAGCTGGTCCTGCCCTGCTCCTCGTCGTGGGTTTCTGTCCCCACCCTGGAGCTCCCTGCTCTGGTCACCTCTGGGCTCTTCTTCGGGTGCTGATTCTGTTCCAGCTCCTGCTCCTGGCCCTGCTCTGCTCCCTGGGCTCCTTTGCTGGCATGTTAGTGATATGGGGGGGCCGGGGACAGGGGCAGCGCTCTCTGGGCGCTTCCTCCGCAACCAGAAGCAGCAGAGGGAGGTGTGGGGTGGTAGCGGTCCCGTTGCGTGACCTGGCACCATCCTCCCAGCAGCGCTCCTCCTCGGCACTCAGCAGTGATGCCTGTATCTAGCAGGGCTTGCAGTATCAGTAGGGCTCAGAGTGAACAAGCCAGGGCAGAGAAGAGCTGCCGTGAGAGAGGCAGGAGTGGTTCGTGCTGCAGGGAGGGTGGAGAGGTCACCTGGGGCTTGGTGGCAGGAGGTGGCCTGTGAGCTCGTGGCCCTGCCATGCCGCCGCGGTGCCCATGGGCTCCGGTGGTCCCACGGCTCCCGCCTCTGCACGGGGCTGGGCGGCTGCTGGGGCCTTTCTGTTGCTGTGGGACAATCCCTCAGCCCTGCCTGCTCCCTGGGCCAAAAGAGCTCTGGAATCCTGCACGTCTCCGGCTGTTCAGCTCTGGCGTGGCAGGGGGATTCCTGGGATGGCTGGGCTGCACCTGGGCTGCGGC